GAATATAATGTGTTAATTGCTGCGGGATTTGCGCCTGTCGTAGCCCTTGCCGCCGCCGCTGCAGTTGCCGTTCATGATTGAGGCTCGTATATCTTGGCGAATTTATGTCGGCCTTATCTATGCACGCGCTGCTCTGCAATTTGATGGCCGATTTGCCAGCGATAAAGCCCGTCCCGCAATTAGGCCCTTCCCCAGTCGAACTTTCCATGGAAGCAGAACTCGCATGAGTACCACAACTTTGTTGTGGCACTGTCCACGCCACCCCGTCCACTGAGCCACTAGACACAAGCCTGACTCCACCTTCTGCTATAGGCCAGCGGTTATCAGCATTGACTATCAGTAAACGGCCAAGCGAGAGGGCAATAGGTAACACACAGAGAAAGAGAGAGGGAGCGAGGGAGACCTGCAAAGTAGTGCGTGTGGCAGGGCCATAAACAATCTACACTACACTTAAGGCCAGCCAATTGCATTCGCATTCGCATTCTCATGTCGCTGCTGGCATGTTTTTTGATGGAAAATAATTAAGTTAATGTAAAATGCATTTTCAAATTGTATAGCAAAGCCTAATTATCATGCCGTTCCATGCTTAGAACACAACTTGCTTCACATTCACATTCACATTCACATTCACGAACACAATTATAGATACAGTATAGAAATATATAGTATATATGTATGTATATATGCTGTGTGTACTGTGTGAGTTGGATAAATGATTAGTTTGACTTGAGGCGTTTCTGTAATACATGCTCGAATTGAGGAGCTACAGCAGAATGAAAGGCAGATAATTTCGGGGTATTTCGCCCCTAAAGACCGAGCCGAGTCTCGACAGACTTTCATCACCCTGCACTTACGTTTATGATCTGTTCGAAATGCTGTGTGCTTTCATCGCGTCTGTTGGGGCTATCGCCCCGTAATCGCAAACTGGTTCGCGCTGTTTAGCCTTCGCATTGTTGGCCAGTGTGTCAGGTCATTAATTTCATTAAAATTGCATCAAAATTTATGGTGGAGCTGCGACCAATTTGCTTGTAATCCATCAGCGCGTCGCATCGCGCTGCCAGCCCTCGAGCTCTTTTGTGTACTTTTCCGAACAGGCCCAAAACTAAATTACAACGTGGCCCTTAACATGTTAATAAAATAAAATGCGACACGCAAAATAATGAAAAGCCAACTCTGGAGCTGATCTGAATTCAGCGCAAATTCAATTACAAGCAGCTTATGCGATAAGTGGTAATGGGCTAAAGCCAAAGCCAAAGCCAAAGCTAAAACTGAAGCGAAAGCTAAAGCCGCAAGCCACAAGACCTAGATAAGCTGGCTACCATATCAGAGGGATCGATCTGCAGATGCACCTGCGCCTGCTAGTCGCTCTGGAAGATTTGGAGTCCTTCGAGTCCTTTGCATATTTATGCACGTGTGAGAAACGAGCTGAATGCGTAATTTAATAAGCAGGCGACTAGAAGGATCCATTAACAATTTCGCAGCAGGATTAAAGGACGACTTTGGCCTAGTCATAAAACAGCAACTTAATTGTTAATTAAAGGGCGCGCCGAACGCGTACCTCTCCCCGCTTGCGTCCTGCTCCCCGAGTCTTGCCGCTCGGCCTACGGCATGTCACGTCGCAGCGGCAGCTGCCTCTTGTGCAACGTCTATCAACATAATGACATTCAGTTACATGAAAAAATGTTCAGCATACTGAATAGTTTTCGACTTTCAAGTTCGGCTCGCGTCCGAAGTGTGGAAATTATAATAAATTTTTACTTTGGGCACTGCAATTATGCGGACACCTTGCTCTGGCCATATATTGCCATATTGACAGCTTGATTGATGCCTGGCCTGTGCGATCCCGACATCTGTTTAGCATTTTTGCGCCTAATCGAAAAACCGATCTAACGATTTTGCATAAGTTCAGCGATCACCAACTTGGAACTGGATAGCACAAAGTTCGAACTACAAACTTCAAACTGCAAACGGCCAACGGGTGGTCCAAGACCCAGTCCCTGTTCGAGGCCCAGCTCCAGTGCCAGTCGCAGTTAAGCAACTGCCTGACGTTGTTCAGTGAATGCCATCAGAGACAATAAATTTCATAAATAGCTTATGCATAAAATGCCAAGCCTCCTCTCGATCCGCACACCTTCATCAGGCACCGCCCGCTGTGTTAATATTAATTGGACGACATAATTGCAGCGCACCGCTGCCCATAATAATCGACCCGGGCCAAGATGAGGAAGAAGTTGCGGCCAGCCGAAAACACGTTTCGGGCCAATCTTCATAAAGTAGGACCAGACCCCAGACCCCAACTCAACTCAACTCAGCTCAACTCAACTCAAGTCCGGTAGTTGGCTGCCGCCCGGCAATTGGAATTTGTGTAAATTTGGCAAACGTTGCATTGACGACACCAGGTTGGGCAGCCAACTGGTCAGCTGGTCAACTAACTGGGAGGATTGCATGTTGGCCACTTCCATACATAATTACGGGTTGCATTTAATACTCTGACGCAAAAGGGTTTGCAGCAGCGGCCAAGCGTTATACAGCTCTTGACTGAACATAAAGTGCGATATAATTGAAAACTGAAATAATTGACAACGTATTAAATATAAGACTTTATTTTATTATTATTATTATTATTTATTTATTTTAAAATTAAAAATGAACATATTTGTATTTTAATTTATACACTCATAGAATAAGTAATCTATAATGGTTATTATTTCTAATAATAAATAAAAATATCTTTAAATAATGAATAGCAATAACAGTAATTTTTATTGTTTTCGAAGTAGTGAAAATACTTAAATTTTATTTTTCAAATTTCTTTTATTATTTAAATTGTTTAAAATTATTATTCTTTAAAAATTACTTTTATTTTTTTAAATTATTATTTGATTTTATTTAATACATATTTAAGTTTAGTAACTAATAGAACTATTATTTATAATTATTTAGAATAAATTTAATCTAATAATAATATATTTTGGTTTTAGTACAATTATGAAGAGCTATAGTATTTGCTGTTCAAAACAAAAAATAATATTTTGAATATATGAAAATAATTGTAATTATTAAATGTAATTACTTTATTTACTTATTTGTGTTTATTGTTATTTTTATTGTTACAAATAAAACTAAATCATTTTTTATTGAACCGTAATTAATGCAAGAATTAGATTCTTATACTTTTCACTTTTCATTTCTGTTTAACATATTTTTATTTTCATTTATCAATGATGACTTAACCTAACTTACAAATAAACCAAAGTTGCCTCTGCTGCAAGAGTATTGACAGTTCGGTGCGTGGATGGCTGACTTTAAATTTTCTTTGTTTTTTGGGGGGCATTTGCACTGGCTGCAAGCAGGCACAGCATGTGTGCAATTATCGGTGTGTGTCCTGGCTAATTTATTGTCTTTGGCGCTGCCCTAAATCCAAATGTAATACAATATGCACATTTATCATATTTAAGTACCGAGTCCAAAAACACATCCCGTATTTATGGCCTGCTAATATGCGGTTTTAGTTTAACGGCCATTCGGCCATTGGAGCATGGAGGAATCGGAGAACCGAGGGGCCGCGTTGCAGCCCAAATGCGCTGGAGAATGCTTCCGTAAACTGGGCAAGGGCTAAACTCGAGTGCCCGCCCTAACTTCGACTAACTGCCACGACTGACAGGCCGTCGAATGCAGGCGGCAGCAGCACCGCAGGAGGGAAAGTACAGGCTGTAAGAATTTAAAATGCTCGCGCTTTAGGTTGTTTGCTCATCATCAGCAAAACGCACGCCCCCGCGACAGTACATTATTTCCATTGCAAATATTTATTTAACGCTCTGTTTTTATTTTCCCTGAAATCAGTTAAATGGACTGTGCTGTTTGTTTTGCTTGCCTTGGTGCGACAGTTTGACGCGCAGTCCTTTAATAAGCCCCGTGAATAATGGCCGAGGCTTAGGCGTGAGCCAGCGATTGCTCATGTGGGTGGTGGGCGTGCTTCACATGTGTGTGCAGACCAAAATGGTGAGCCGTATCGGCATGCCAATTGGCTATAAAGAAAGCGGATGCGTGCCAAATGGAGTGGAGTGTTAAGAGAGGGAATCGCTGGCCTGCAGAGCCCAAAATGCAAGAGGAGACCAGCTAAAGCCGAACTAAAGACACAAAATTCTGGACTGAAGATGTTTCCCACTGCTGGCAAATGGACAGCACAAATGTAACAAAAATTGCGCACAATTACGGGGCAAAGCCCAGGCAAGTGGTCCAACCCTCCATCGCACTCATTCCAATCGCACCTTATCCGAGCGGAAAAGAATTATTACGTTGAATTTTCTTTCATTTTTAGGCAGAGAAAAAAAGGAAAGATTTCTCGTTTTTTGATAGCGGCAGACCAAGTGTGCCGTAAGCAGCAGCCAGGACACGGCGCTGTCCACGTCTCACGTGCACATGACAGTGGAGTAAACAATTTCATTTCGCGCGGGCAGCTCAGCAGGACCGAAAGATAACTGCTACAAACGAGGCACAAGATGCTGCCTGCAATAACAACGGCAACAACAAGAACAATGACAACAGCAGCCAGGACAACAAGGACAGTACTTGAGTTCCTTTATTTTTTTTCTTCATATTTTTTCTCGATTCTCGTTTTTTTTTCTTTCTTTTTCTTTTTGGAGTCAGCAAACGTAATAACAACAAGGCCAACCACCACAAAAGCATAAGAAGTTGCGTAAATATATTGTCCCGTCGGTCTGTCGAGTTGAGTGTGGCGGGTCAGGGAAGGGGGTTACCTATAAAGAGGACACTATCCAGCAGCAAGTTGTGGGCGTTGCGCAACTGAACAAGGAAGCAAATGTGGGTGAGTGCGACGCAGTTAGTCGAGCGTGCCTGGCGGCTTTTAATGCGTGCGTCTATAAATTTTGCACGCCTTTTGTGGCTGGGCAGATGGTGGGCGGTGCACGTGGCCCGGCCAGTTTCTGAAACTGTCAAATTGTTACTGTTTCAGCTCCTTTGGGGGTAGTCGAGCGACGTTCTGGCTATAGGAATTATTTATTTATTTATTATTTTTTCGGTTTACTTTGCTATAAAATCTGGGAGCAGTTTAAAATAGGGTTTACAATTTAGGATAATGTTTTTGGTAGAGATATAGAATGTTCATTTCCATTCAATAGGAACTTTATCTTCTTTGGAGGACTTGAATTTCATCCAATTCTGGTCCAATTTCCTAGCTCCGATGATTCAGACGTTACTCTCTGATCGATGGACATTCTAATTCATTCATATCAATATTTCAATCAACTTTACGATAACTTTTGAGTCAATGCATAGGTGAATTTATCTTGAAATAATTTAATAGTTTGTACTCCTAGCTTCCCGTTCATTTTTCTTCGTCTTTAAAGATCCATCATTCCTTGTAATGCTCCATTCTTATCTTAGGCGTAAAGGCTTAGCAGTATCTCTGACAGTTTAACCTCTTCGGTTCATTCATGATAATATGATTTGGTGGTCTTCTTCAAGTTAATCTAATTCTACGTTATTTGTGATATTTGTGATTCATCTTAGCTTTGCTTCTCCTTGAAATCGTTAGCATTGACAATGTTTTCTATATTATTAGGCAAATTCTTCATCAGTTTCAGTTTCGTTATCAGAGACCTCAGCTTCATCGGTAGATTCAACCTCAGAATCCTCCTCAATCGCATGACCAGTTGATTCTAAAATTATTTCCCTAGCCTCTTCTACCTCTTCTTCACTATCATCCGAGCATTGATCATCCACATCTTCCTCGGAAGAATCTTCATTTTTACTATGAGATGCTGCCTCACAATTCTCCTCCTCACTTGCGATATCAATTGATTCTCCAATTATTTCCGTGGCCTCTTCTTCCTCGTATTCATAGTCTTCCGAACTTTGATTTTCCATATCTCCCTCGGGAGAATTTTCATTTTCACTAAAGGCTGCTGCCTCATAATTCATTGACTGGTTGATTGGCTCCTCTTCATTTGCAACGCCAGTTGATTCTTCAATTATTTCTACCGCTTCTTCACCATCGTCCGAAGTTTGATGTTCCATATTTGCTTCGGGAGGATTTTCATTTTCCCTAAGGGCTGCTGTCTCACGATTCATTGACTGAGTTGGTTCCTCTTCATTTGCAACACCAGTTGAATCTCCAATTATTTCCGTAGCCTCTTCTACCTGTTCTTCACAATCGTCAGAGCTTTGTTTTTCCATAGCTCCCTCGGAAGAATCTTCAGTTTCACTAAGGGATACTGTCTGACAATTCATTGTCTGCGTTTGCTCCTCTTCACTTTCATCGCCAGTTGATTCTTCAATTATTTCCGTAGGCTCTTCCTCACCATAGTCCGAACTTTGATTTTCCATATCTCCCTCGGAGGAATCTTCGTTTTCACTTGGGGGTGCTGCCTCACAATTTATTGACTGGGTTTGCGCCCCTTCAATTTCATCACCAGTTGATTCTTCTCCCTCGGCATCGTCTGAACTTGGATTTTCCATTGCTCCCTCGGAAGAATCATCATTTTCACTTAATAATGCTGCCTCCTCATAATTCATTGACTGTGTTTGCTCCTCTTCATTTTCATCACCAGTTGATTCTTCAATTGATTCTGTAGCCTCTTCTTCTCCATAATCCGATCCTTGACTTTCCATAGCAATCTCGTTAAGTTCATTAGTTCGCTCTTCAATTATTTCTGAACCCTCTTCTTCACCATCGTTCATATCTATCTCGGAAGAATCTTCATTTTCACTAAGGTGTGCTGCCTCCCGGTTCATTACCTGGGTTGGCTCCTCTTCATTTTCATCACCACTTGATTCTCCTGTCGTTTCAGTGGCCTCTTCTTCTTCCTCCTCCTCTTCTTCTTCTCCTTCTTCTTCTTCTTCTTCTTCTTCTTCTTCTTCTCCTCCTTCAACCCCATGTTCATCATCATCCATATTTCCTTCGGAAAAATCACCATATATTTCTTGGTGTTCATCTTCTTCGGAATATAAAATAATAGAATTTCCTTCTAAATTAATGCCTTCCATACAAATAACATTGTCTGATTCGCTGTCTTCCCCTGTTTCCTCGCCGTCCATATCTGTATTCGCTTCTTCAGATATTTCTGTTCCTTGATCACTCTCATCGCAATCAAGATCGGAACCTATAAGTGTGCTTGAGCCATCAACAGACTTTTCAACAACTGAACTAGTTAATGACCCAGATTCGTCTTGATGAACATACTCGTTATCGCGTTCGATTGTTTTTTCAGGGCTGTCAGCATTATCGGCAACACATACTTTCGATTTTTCAAAAGGTTTATCATTTCCAACACCAGAAACTTTATCCTGTTCTGTTTTCGAATTCTGATCCTTCATGTTTGAGTTTTCTATGTCATCCTCAGATGATTCCTCATCGACGTCACTTATTGTTTCGGGCTCATCACCTGTAGAATCTTCATCGTCAGGATATCTTAATAGTTTTGTGTCTTCACTATCATCGTCTGAGCAATTAAAATATTGTTTTGTAAGTGTATCCCTGTTTTCATCATCTTCACCATCCGAGGACTCATCCTCCGAGCTACTGAACGAATCCTCGTCTTCCATCTCCTGATCATTGTGTATGATTTCCAAAAGATTTGGATCCAACTGACTGTTGGGTTGCTGAAAACACGCCTTAAGCTTTAGAATATCCAGAAACTCTAGCCACTCTGAGTACATTCTATCAGCCGTTCGTTTTGGCTCATTATCAGTTAGCTGGACACAGAAGCCTAGCAGAAGGTTTCTTCGTGTAATACGTAACTTATAGAAGGGTGTACCTCTGCTGGCATATGATTTAATCAGAAAGTCATTAGTGGTTAGCGCAGGTCGGTTAATATCTGTATCCGGGTAGTTCATCGCCTTTAATTTTTCAGGATCATATTCCAGCACCAAGCGTTCAAAGTCCCAAAGGCTCATCTTACAATCATTTCCACCAACTATGAACATTTTGTTATCTTTCCCAAACTCAATGCTGTTGATTGCCGCGGTGTGGTGGGGCAGCCAGCGAACCATTTCCTCTTTATCAGTATCCCAAAGAATCACATAACTATCATCACCTCCGGAGACCAAGTAACGTCCGCATATGGAGAACGCGAGAGCATTGATGGAGTTCCTGTGCACACTGAAGATGCGCACTTGAGTGGCTTTTACAACGTCCCACAAGCGGACTGTGCAGTCGGCTGAGCCAGTCGCGAGGTAATGCCTGTTTGGATGGAACTGGCAGATGGTGACCTCGGCTAAGTGCCCCATAAGTATGCAGACTGATTTCTTGCTGTCCTGCGTCCAAATGCGCGCCGTGCGATCGTCCGAAGAGGTGGCAAAGAAATAGCCTAACGGAGCATATACAACGCTGTAGATAGCGCCGCAGTGTCCGGGATAGATGACAATACAGCTCCAGGATAGCAGGCACCAACAACGAACAGTTCGGTCCTGTGAGCAGCTAAGTAGGAAACGGTCGTTCGGTGAAAAACTACACCCATATATGGGTCCTTGGTGACCATAGAGTGTACGTCTCAATTTTCTCTTGGTGGCATCTAACATGCTGTCATCTATGCCGGAGATGCCAGTGTCGAGCCTCTTCAGGTATTCTGCCGGCTTGAGCTGCGCCAGCTTTGAGGAAGTCAACGAGAAAATATGGATTATGGAAGAGTCGGTGCCAACGGATAGCATTGTTGTCTTGCTAGAGAAGGAGGCGCAAATTACGGTCTCTGAACTCTCTTGCGCCGTATATAAGTAGGCCGATGGCAGGTTCCCACGGCTAAGTGGTACGCGCCGTTCCTCATCATCCTTTTGTCGTTCTTGGTCCCAACGCTTCGGAGTAGGAATGAAGAGGCGATTGCCTATTGGCAAATACTCATTTCCAGCTGGAGAGCTTTTATCTTTCTTGAAACGCCTACGCTTCATGGGTCGCGGGCTACTTTCCTTATTTTCTTTAAATGTGTCGGGGGTAGCCCAGTATATCTTTTCCAAAATAGGCGAACCAATGCGGTTGATTTGATGCGGCTCCTCGTTTTCATCAAAAGGACTTAGATCGAAGTGTCTAAGAAATGTCGCCTGTAATGAACGGCTCCAACGCTCCATGTGGAGCAGTAGCACGTAATAGGTTTCTTCGAGCATGCAGAATTGAATTTTCTCGTCGGAGAGCAGCCTTTTGGCCTTGTTTGGCAAATCACCTGGAGTCTGTAGTATCATTAGCTTACCCACCCGTGCTACGTATGAATGATCAATGTAACGCATGGAGCTCTCCACAAAAGACTTGCCTTTTCGGTATTTTCCGCAGGAAACCATTCGTAGGTAGGCCAACGTAAGAGTCGGATACATGAGGCTGTATATTTCGTACTTGAAGCGGTTGGGAACTTGGTCCACAATCTTGCGAATTTTATGAAATAGTTTCTCGTAATCGTTCAGCACGTTTGAGTGGGGAAGATCGGAGCCAAAAGCGTCCTCTTTATTGTCGGTCTCAAACATGTTGCCTTCAATGCTGCTATCTTGTTCGTAAAAGTCCTTAGCGACTTTTAAGCTAGATTTCTGCGGCTTTGCCTTTCGTCGCCACACCAACTCCTCAGTATCCGACTCTTTTGCAGAACGTGGCGGAGAAGCAATACTGGCGGCTTTAATGCTACGCTTCGCCTTATTCGCATACATTTTGGATAAGTTTGATAAGTATGTTATGGTGGTCTCTTCAAAGTCTCGATTCTTATCAGAAGATACCGTCTGAGGAGATTCTTTTGTGTGCGGATCAGTTGGCTGACTGACATTAGGCATTATGGGCGACTCAGGATAAGGCAGCTTTGGCTTTTGATTGGGTAAAATCGTACCGGTTGATTGCGAATTCGGGAGTGGGCTCTGTATATTCAATGGTTTGGATAGCAGACTAAACGTGCGAAGCATATAAAAGTGAAATGTGAGTTGAATAAAATATATAACATATAATATTGTGTGCTGCACCTGATGTTACTTGAATTGGTCTTTTTGGGAGCAGCCGTCTGAGTCTGCTTGCTCTGCTCTGTAGATGGAGTCGGCGTCTGCGATGGTTTCGAATGACCTAAGCTCGTACTTGTTGGGCCAAGAGCTACGGTGATAAAATATTCAGTAATATCTGTGGAACGGAATGATGCAGCGATTGAGTCTCACCTGTAGTCTCCATGCTCACAAGTTCCGCAACCAAATCGACCTTATTAGCAACTCCTGAGTTGCTGTCCGATGAATGTGACTCGTCATTGGACTCACTTGTGTGTCCTGCACTTGATGACTCTTCAGAGTCGGAGTCATCAGTAAAGTCCACATCAGAATAAATGCAGCCACCTATATTGATTTTAGTTTTTGAGGCCTTATCATCCTTTTCATCATTTTTGCTGTCGTTTGTTTCCACTTTTTTTTTAACCATTTCAGTTTCATGAATTTCATCCCGTTTTCTGGCCATATTATCGTGTGAAAACCCGTCCAGACATGCGGGCTCTCCACCCAGGCTATCAACGTTTTGAACGTTGTCAACTGTTGACCCTACGTCATTCACAACATTTATTCCCCACTCAGATGTAAACATGCCCATATCGTATGGGGTTTCTGTTATCGGATTTGCACACAGTTCAGGTTCGAGATCATATTTAGGCTTCTGCTCAGAGCCAATTATTTCAAGCTCATTGAGATCAGATGGTGCCACAGCCATCGGGCTTATTGGGTCCTCTAAATTATACGGGGATAATAATGGCATATCCGCTGATACTGGCAAAGCATCAGCTGATGGCTCCGGGAAATCCAGTGATGCTAATGATTTCGGATCATCCACTGCCGTTTCCATTGCCGAGTCTCCCAAAACGGCTGGTTCGTTTGAGACGGGGTCTTCATTAGTGACAATGCTTTGAATTTCTTTTATATCAGAACTTAGTGATTCACACTTCGGGCTATTTGTGTCAGCCGAATGCTGCAAAAGAATTATTTAATATACATAACATATAATTAAATATTTTGATTGACTTTTCAATAGATTGCATACATTCGTGTCGTTATTTTTGTCATCATTGCATAATCTCTGCCTTTTGCGTTGTGCACTTCCATTATCGGACGCCTGTCGCTTTTTTCCGCTTTCATTATTCATAATTAATTTGTTTTTCAAAGAATTGTCACAATTTTATTTTACTTCAATTATTAACGTTATAAAAGCACCAGAAAAGTAAAATTATTGCAAGACTCGGAAAATTAGAGACTGTCGATTCTACGTACCAATTGATGTGAGCACTTATCGGGATACTTTGATAGGTTATCGATTTATCAATTAAATGGAAATGTCACAGCTTTTTAAAGTCACAGTTACAAACGTATTAATGTAACTGACATTAGGGCTCATCTCCATGTTAATTTATCACAGAGTGCTTTTATCCTGACTCTATAGGAAAATACAAATGCTTGGCATAGTCGCTTATAAAAAACTAATTTAATTTTTATACCCTGAACCCATTTTCAATGGGAAATCAGGGTATAATGGTTTTGTTGAAATGTATGTAACAGGGAGAAGGAGGCGTGGTAGACCCCACAAAGTATATATATTCTTGATCAGGGCGACGAGCTGAGTTGATTTGGTCCTGTCCGTCTGTCTGTCCGTCTGTCCGTCTGTCCGTCTGTCCGTCCGTCCGTCCGTCCGTCCGTCTGTCCGTCTGTCCGTCTGTCCGTATGTATGAACGCGTCGATTTCAGAAGATATAAGAGCTAGAGACTTCAAATTTTTTTTAAATGTTCGTAATTACAGCGCGCATATCAAGTTTATCATTAAAAATCGATAACTCATCCCGATCTTTTTTATCGATAAAAAACCTTATCGAAAACCAGTTAGAAAATTATATCTTCTACACCTTTATTGCTAGAGTCTCCAAATTTTTAATGTATGCTTATATGCAATTTATACAATTTCGGTTTTTGTTAAAATTTACCCCCCACCCTTAAATTCACCCCCTCACCCTCACTTTTGTAAAAAGCGTATTTCAATAACTAGAGACTTGTGCTTTAGCAATTACATGCATATCCATGTCATAATCATAATCTAAAAGTTTCATGAAGATCGTACGTCCACAAAAAGTTATTAAGCAATTAAGTTCTCAGAGTAAGCGCTCACTGCCGCCCATGCGTGTTTATGCTTGTGTGTGTATATGTATGTAATTGTTTGTGTATGTGTGTGTGTGTGTGTGTATGTGTGTATTATGTGTGTGTATGTATGCCTGTGTGTGCGTGCGTGCGTGTGTGTGTGTATGTGTGCGTGTTTCTTGTGTAAGCTGAAAGACGCGAAAAATTATTGAAATAGCTATTACTCCAAGGGGTCAGGGGATCTCGTAGTCGAGTAGTCTCGACTAGAGCTTTCTTACTTGTTTTCTTTATGCTGATTCAAGGTCGAGTCATTCTCGACAAGTCCATAGCTGTTGAACAGTAAAAAGCTACAGTTGGTATAAATTTATAGTTTTATTTAGTTTCTCATATAGTAAGCACAATGTTATTGGATATATTGTCATATGAATGTCACAATTTTCTGCATAAGATATATGTAGGAGATAATATATATTGTACAGTACATAATAACATAGTATTTCGTTAAAGTATTCACTAAATCACTTCATTACTCGTTACTTCTGATCCTCTATAGTCCAGAAAAATATATATTCGGTTGCTCGTCGTACTTTGAACCCGTAGCTCAATAATGTTTATTAATTATTAATACTTAACTATTTTATTTATCTAATTATTATTGAATGCAATAAATGTAATTAAAAATACTTTTATTGTCTACATTATACAGATATACGAAATTGACTACAAATAAAAGTAAATTAAAGCGATTGACTGCACTGGAATGTGACAGCGGATTGTGATATGTGGAATTTGAGGCAATGGATAGCATGTGTAGCTACTTGTAGAGCGCGAGGGCAGCTGGGCCTCGTCTTTTGGACAGCTTGAATGCTGCATTAAAACGCATCGGCGGGCTGCAATCACCGAGAGTATTGGCATATACAAATGTCAGAACTCAAGGGCTTTCATTAGGCGCAGACAATTAGAAATAAAGCCACATTATGCGCAGCCACAATAAAAGCAGACAAAATCGCGAGCAAATCACTTGAAATGCAATGCAGCCCGTAAATAAATCACATCGCGTCTGTTTGGATGGGAGCGAGTTTATGCAACTGCAAAATAATCCATTGTAAAGTGTCGAAAAAGTGCAATTGAAATGCAAATCAATGCAAATCGATACTTGAATCATCATCAACAGCAGCAAAGATAAATGATTCATGCGCCGCACCCTGCACACCGTTCGCCGCACGCGAGCCACATTCAAATGCAAATACGAATGCAAAATTTTGCATGAAAACTCGATTTTGGGCGGGTCTTGCAGGAGCTGCGGCCGGCGGCAAGGGCGTCCCGCTGATGTGCTAACAATCAAATCAAAATAAAACTGCACCGCACAACAATAAGAATTGCAGCCCAAAACAAAAACACAGCAAACAATGAGATACACGCAGGGGCACAAAGGTGAATGTGTTGGCAGATTTCAGCACTTCCGGTTAACTGTTGCTAATTTGATTAGAGAGTTAGAAGCCAGCTTGCGAAAGGGCAGCCATGCCGGCCTGTGAGCATTTGTTGGCGTCGATTTCGTTTCGGACTGCTAACTTATGCAAATGATGCTCTGTGATTTATGTGCTGAAGTCTGTGTGGGCCTGGCAACTCTGTTCCTTGGGGACAAGGAACAGGACGGCTGAGAGTCTGTAAATTGAATCTAGGAATTCGTATTACTTAATCGTTTCACACGCGTTGCGCTTTTGCACATCCGTCGGTGATTTCTTATTCAAATTCAAACTCAATCATATCCTGTCATAAGGCTCGAGCCTCCTTTGTCTGCCCATCACAAGTTGTTTGTGCTTTCGCTTAACCCCTTTGAGCTGTTTGTCCTCGCATCCTGAACCTATCCCAGACATTGTCATGCTAATTGCCGGGCATGAGAAGTCTGACATTCAAGTCTGAGAACTTTTCGGCAGCCAGGTAGGCTTCTCGCTGATCGAGTTGAATTTATTCAGGATATGTCTTCATTCAGTATGTTTCTACATTTCATTACGTGAGGTTCTTAAAATGATTTGTAATTGTGCTCCGCACTTGTGTGAAATGATCTTAAATTATAAATTCAACTCCAGCTCGATGCCAAGTAAATCTTATAGAGAGCAGAAGGCAATAAAAAATAATAAAAAAAACCAATACTCCAGTTTATCGTGTTATCGTATTCAGAGAAACGTCGTATCCACGCCTCGGCAACCTATAAAGAGCGAGCATTAACACGGCCTCTGACGCAATTTAACACCAATTACAATATCCGTTACATCTAATTATTGTAAGCGCGCCCAGAAGCAAGCCACTTGTCAGGGACCAAATTAAAGAAAAACATCCACAAGGAAACCACAAAAGACAAACCAAAGACAGGTCGTTGTCCGTCCGTCGCCATTTGTGGTTGCCAGGACATTAACAATGGCAACTACCCAGCGAGACCAACAACAACGACAACGACAACGACACGAAGAACAAGTCCAAATGGCGCTCATAAAACAACAGAGCAGAGCCCGGAAAAGCCATGAAATATGACGAAGATGGAGCCTGAACCAGGGGGCATCGGAGTTGCCGCCTGAACCGCAGCTGTGTTGTTGGTTATTTGGGTGGCTGTGCAGCTGTGTGTGGGTGTGAGTGTGGGTCTGAGTGGGAGTGTGGAGGAACATTTCTTAATTTCCAACAATTTACGCTGAAAGCTTTCAGCGCTCAAATGACGCACAGTGCCGAGCGCTCGTCCTTTGACAGTGTCCAGGCCAGGGCGACGATGATCTAACGCCATTATTTCGCTGCCAAACGACAGGCAGTTGTTAATGGGGCTTACCACTTAAGCGCGACGGCGTAAAATAAACACACAGAGTCCTGCCCCGCCCACCCGGTCGTCACGGATGTCCTGGCAAATTAATTAACATAGCGCGCGCTCGCGCCTGCCTGCAGCGCTCCTTCGGCATTGCTTGGGGCTCTTCGCATTTTCTTATTTTCTTGTCCTTCGGCGGTTTTTTCTGGCCCTGTTTAATTGTGTGCTACTTCGTTCTGTGCGCGAGGAAGTCGGCCAGCGGCAGTTTAACAATTAGAAAACGTTTAAAGCTCGCCCAGCTTTGAGCTGGGTAGTGGGTTTCCTTGGTTCCGTTGATTACCGGCCAGGGCCCACAAGCTCCGGCTGAAGACATTGTGCACACACGGCACGTCCCTGCATCCGTTTGACACCTTTGTGACCCGTGGACAGGAAATGAGCTGCCCCGTACGTGACTAGCTTCAGTAAACTACGTCTTTGAAAATATTCATCGGTCTGATTTTCGGCTGCGAATTTTCGGCGGCATTTTCTAAGCCGCTGCAGGTTGCTGGTTGCTGGCAAACGAGTTATCCACGCAAAGACTTCCGAATTTAAGGTGTGCCAGCCCACTGTGCCAATTGTCTCTTGTGCCACTGCTTAAAATTCCGAATTTGTGCACTCGCTCAATTTCCTTGAGTCTATAAAGTAATTACCCCCAAACAACTGAAAGATTCGGCATAAATTTGCTGTCGTGGCGGCCAAGCGGCCAGGCAGCCAGTCAGACGACCAGGTCCTGCCGGTATAATTAGTGGCCCATTGAAGCTGCTACGTGACAAGGAGAGCGCCTTGTGGCAAGGACAAACCTTGAGAATCGGCCAAGCGTCGGCCTTCCATAATTGCAATTAAAATGTACGCCAGGATGCTCGCGCGTGAAGAGCAAACACTTTGGGGCAGCCAGCAAAAATAAGTAACAGAAAATTGTGCAAATTAAAATATAATTAGAGATAAACAAGCCAAAACAAGCGGCAAAAGGAGCTGGCAATTAGTGGCAGAGTTCGCATAGACGGTGGCGCCGCCTGTCGGCCAGCGGCGGTTGTGCACGCACTTTCCACTGGAATTGTGTGACTGGAAGTGAGCGTTCCCTGCAGGCACAGACCACCCCTACCGCTCAACCACCGTGAGGGCTGGCGTGTGTGTGCGAGCGAGTAGGCAACAAACGCTCAGCGAGCAGGAGCATGTGAGACAGGAAGTCGCAGTCGTTGTCTCTGTCGCTGCGCTGCCGACGCTGCGGCGTCGCGGCGCTGCTGCGTCTCTGGTACCTGGCAACTAACGAGCCAGTAATTTTGTGAGGCAGCTAATGCTGCCTCAAAGACCTACGCCGAACTGCTGCGTCAGCTTCTCGAGCGTCGTCTTGGCTACTTTAAGCCAACCTCGTCATCGTCTTTCATATTAAGTATACGCCGCATCGCAGCACGCCTTGCTCATGTGAGCATAGGGGAGGGGAGGGCTGGGCAGAGCAGGGCTGGCTAGGCTGGGCA